ATGCTACTTCTATCATGGATCAGGTTTCCATGTGTGTTTGGGTCTATATTGTTGACTTATCTATACATCAATTTCTACATTAATACCACAACTCTTTCTTATTACAATAATCCTATCTAATAAAAGATTAATATGTAAATTAACCATCACTCCACTGCACCCACAAACCACACCCACCAGCCAATCAGAGCAAGTATGCAAATTAACCCCGACCAAGATGGCTATAGCCACAGAGAGCAGAGGGATGCTTGGGTTTCCTTGACAATGGAGGAAGCCAAGCTTTCCACACACCCTGGAGGGCCCGGGCCTCCACTCAGGGGTACAAAGTTTCAATTGTAGAAGATAAATAAATTCCTGATACCAGGGCCTCCTCTTGGGTTGCCAAGGGGCATGGATGGCCTGCAAACCACCACAGGCCCCTTGCTCAGGCTGCCCCATACCCAAGGGAACCCCCACTCTGATCCAGGACACCCTTTAGGGCAAACCAGCTGGCCCCCACCTATTCACCAGGCCTCTATCCTATCTAATAAAAGAGTAATATGCTGATTGACCATCACTCTAACACACAAGATGGCTGCCCCCTTATGGTCAAAGATCCTGCCCCCATGTGGACACAAGATGGCCACCACAAGATGGCCAGCAGGGGAGGGCAGTTGGGAGGGACCAGGCCTGCAAGGGAGGACAGTTTAGGACAATCAACCCTGTGGGGGAGGGCAGTTAGAGGTGACCAGGCTGGCAGAGGAGGGAAGTTGGGGGCAAATAGGCTGGCAGGGGAGCAGTTAGACATCAATCAGGCTGGCCTGGGAGTGGTTAGGGGGAGATCAGGCTGGTAGGCAGAAGTGGTTAGGAGCAATCAGGAAGGCAGGCAGGCGAGCAGTTGGGAGCCAGCAGTCCTGGATTGTGAGAGGGATGTTCAACTGCCCATTTATGGCAGTTGGACATCCTTCGAAGGGTCCCAGATTGGAGAGAGTTCAGGCTGGGCTGAGGGATATCATTTAACTCAGATTGTATCACATTATTTTTCTGTATTTTAAACAATTTTTATTATTGACTCTATTACAAATGTCTCCATTTTTCCTTCCTTTGCCCACCTTCATCCGGCCTCTGTCCTCCTTCTATCTGGCCATCACCACACTGTTGTCTGTGTCTATGGTTTATGCATATACAGTATATTCTTTGGCTAATCCTTTTACATTTTTCTCATTCAGTCCTTTACTCCCCCCTTTCTTCTGACATTGTCAGTCTGTACCATGTATCCACACCTCTGATTCTATTTTGTTTATCAGTTTATTTTGTTCTTTAGATTCCATATCTTGTCTCTTTTTTGACCCAATACTGTTCTATCTATGTTTTGGAGTCATAATTTTAAGATTTATAATACAAAACAACAACCAAAAAATTCAAAAATTTGACTGAGAGTGCATTGAATCTATAGAATATGTTATGTAGAAGTCTATGATATTGAATTTTCTAATCCATAAACACCAGGTTGTGTCTCTTGGATTTTAGAATTCTGATGTAGTATCTTTCAATAGATAGTATTATAATAGAATATCATAATTTCACTAATAAAAATTTTTCATTTTTGGTACATTTATTCCTGAGGACTTTATTTTTGTTGCTATTTTTAACAATTGATAATTGCAAAAAGCTAAATATGTTAACTCTGTTGTTGGCAGAAATGCAAGTAATTTTATAATAAAGAAATAAAGTATTTAGAAAAATATTATTTTCTATGTAAAATCACAAATTGTTTAACAATCAGTTATTAACATTTTGTTTATATGATTGGTTGTTGGATATTGATATTATTTTGGGTTATATATGTAGGCTTACTGTTAAGATATTTATATTCCTAATTTAGTTATTACCAATAATGTCATCATGAAGTTTACTAGTGGCCTGGTGCATGAAATTCATGCATGGGGGTAAGGGGGGGTGTCCCTCAGCCTAGCCTGCACCTTCTCCAATCTGCAACCCCTCAAGGGATGTCTGACTGCCCATTTAAACAGGCAGTCAGACATCCCTCTCACAATCCAGAATTGCTGGCTCCCAACCACTTGCCTGTCTCTGCCTGATTACTCCTAACCACTTCTGCCTGCCAGCCTGATCACCCCCTAACCACTCTGCTGCCAGCCTGATGGATGCTTAACTGCTCCCCAGACAGCCTTATTTCTTCGAACTGCCCTCCCCTGCAGGCCAGGTCACCCCCAACTGCCCTCCCCTGCCAGTGTGGTCGCCCCTAACTGTCGTCCCCTGCAGGCCACACCTCCCTGCAACTTCCCTCCCTTGCAGGCCTGGTCCCCCCACAACCGCTCTACCCTGCAGGCCTGGTCCCCCAACTGTCCTCCCGTGTAGGCTGGGGTCCACCCAACTACCTCCCTTGCTGGCATGGTCTCCCCCAACTGCCCTCCTCTGCCAGCCTGGTCACCCCCAACTTCCCACAACTGCCCTCCCCTTCTAGCCATCTTGTGGCAGCCATCTTGTGTCCACATGGGGGCAGCCATCTTGTGTCTTGAAGAGATGGTCAATTTGCATATTACTCTTTTATTATGTAGGATTGTACATTCTCTTGGTCATATATGAATGTATTTATCTGATCATACATCCAGATGTAGAATTGCTGGCTCACAGGCTTATTTCCAACTTCAGTGGAAGATGCTAAAATGCTTTCAAATGCAGTCATCCTTCTTATCTATGGTTTTACTTTAGGAAGTTTCAGTTACCCATGGTCATCCAAGGCTCAAAAATTTTCAATGGGAAATTCCAGAAATAAACAACTCATAAGTTTTTAATTGCATGCCATTCTGAGTAACATGATGAATTCTCGCACTGACCTGCTCCATCCCACCTAGGGCAATGAATCATCCCTTTGTCCAACAGAACCACACTTCTTATGCTACCCACACATTATTCATTTAGCAGCTCTCTTGGTTATCAGATCGACTGTTGTGGTAACACAGTACTTGGTTCAAGTAGCTCTTACTTTACCTAATAACAACTCCAAAGTGTAAGAGTAGTAATGTTGGCAATACATACGTATATGAGAGAGCTGTAAGTGTATGCACGTATAGGAAAAAAACATAGTATATATAGGGGTCAATGCTATCTATAGTTTCAGGCATTAGCTGGGGGGTCCTAGAATGTATCTGCTACAAATATGGGTGTACTGCCGTATCCTTGTACCAATGCATTCAAACTGGACATGAACACGAGGAATGGCCAAGACACATTATACCACATCCTCATAAAAACTTGGCATTGTCAAGCCTTTTCCACTGTAGCCATTTTGGTGGGTGTGACAATTACATTGTGGTTTTAATATGTATTTTCCTGATTTTTAATGGTTCTACATTTTCTTTTCTTTTCTTTACTGGTATTGGGGTATTTTCTATGTTGAGACTGTTCAGGTCCCTTTTCTTTTGACCTATCTGTTTTAAAAATCATTTGTGCCATTCAAATTTTATATATATATATATATATATATATATATATATATATATATATATATTTAGGATATGAGCTCTTTTATCATTTGAAGTTTTGCAATTATCTACTCCCTATCTGTGCCATTGCTTTCAGCTAATTATTCTTTCCAATTCCATTTTCTTTTTAATGGTTAAATTAAACCATTATAAGAGACATCTAACCTGCAACTTTTGTCTTCTTTAATACATCATTTTATATACTTGTACTACAAAACACAAATCTCAAAATGGAATCACATAATTTATATTTGGGTGTAAGCACTTCATATTCTAGCAGGTTAAATATTTTATTTATTAATGTATTTAAATGTTGACTATATAAACAGATATGTCCCTCTCAATCCAGCATGCTAATGCCTTTCTCCATATCATAGCAGTGTCTCCTTTTTACTATCTAGGGTTCCTAGAAAAAGAGCCCAAACCTATTACTAAGAGTTTATTAGAACTCTTAGTAATCTCTGACATCAACAAAGATTAGTAAACTCTGACATCAACAAAAACATTTTTTTTTTTTTTAAGTGAGGAAGGAAATTAGGAAATAAAGCAAGAAAGGAGTAGCATTGCAGTTTAGGCAGGAAAGGGATGGAGGAGTCTGGCTAGTGTGACTCAGTGGTTGAGTGTCCACCCATGAACCAGAAGGTCATGGTCAGGGTACATGCCTGGGTTGTGGGCTCAATCCCCAATAGGGGGCATGCAGGAGGTGGCAGATCATTGATTCTCTCTTATCATTGATTTCTTTTTCTCTCTCTCCTTTTCCTTCCTCTCTCTGACATCAACAAAAACATTTTTATTTTAAAGTGAGGAAGGAAATTAGGAAATAAAGCAAGAAAGGAGTAGCATTTATCTGCTTGCTTATTCCTCTTACCTGTTAATATCCCCTTACATCTGAATGTTTTGACTAAGTCCTTCTGGGCAGCTAGCTTCTGTTGTGGCATTTCCTTTGAATGCGGAAGTAGTGAATGAGGCCAGAAATCTTTTAGATTCAGGTTTGTCAGACCCTGCTTATAACAGTGATCTTATCAATGTTTTTCTAAAGCTGGCCTATCCCCTACAGCAGAAGGCACACAGTGCTCCCTTTAGGAAATGAGGCCACATCAGAAGCAGCAACCAGGGCTCTCTATTGACCAAGTGGCTCAGGCCAAGGGGCAGTTGGAGCTGAGTGAAGATGTATACAGCTGGGTTCTGTATACCTTTATGTTCTGGCCTATCACAGCTGCCCTTCAGAATAGTAATCTAAGGAAAGCAGTGAGCCACAGTAGAGCACAGGAAAGAAGGAGAAAAAGAAAGCATCTCAATGGGTCTGACATTTGTGGTTTGACTAAGTCATTTGGCTGCACATCAAAGGGAATTTTCTATTGGGATAGAAAGATAGGATTTCAAAATTCTCTTTCTCTCTGTCTCTCTCTTTCTTTGTATGTGTTTGTGTGTGTGTGTGTGTGTGTGTGTGTGTGTGTGTGAAAGTGTATTATATGATTCTTGTTGCCTGATCTCACAATTTATTTCATTTTCCAGGTGTAATGGAGCCCTCACTTTCCTGTGTATCTGGATTCTTTCTCCTCTTACAGATGGTGCTCACCTCGGGTAAGGACATCTGTTCTTTTTCATGGTGTGTCACAGTGATAAAGATCATGGAGGTAAATGACACTGAAGGAAATGAGGACGTTTTCTCACTGATATTTTTCGGGTCCCACCCTTTCTGTTGGTAGTATTGAGGATAGAAGGAGGCGGTAAACAACTTGTGATTAAGAAATGTTATTTCAGTGACTGAATCTTTCTCAGCCCCGACTCCATCCACAGTGCTGTAATGATGTGCGAGGAGATGAGACAGATAAATGTCTACCATCTCCCCCAGGGAGGCTCGAATTTTCACTGGCAAATCATAATGAATATACCCCTTATGTTTAAGAACAAAACACGGTCATTTATGTGACCACAAGTTTAGTTTAGAATTATAAGTTTATTAGAACATCAGGTAAGAAGATGGTGTGAGCTGGATCTGTCCACAAATTTTTCTTTATTGCAGTAGACCTTAAGTCTGATAATTCAGATTCCTATGGTGAGAAGGAAAAAAATGTTTTGGGCAGAGACAGGAATGAATTTGGCATAGTTGAAAGAAGCAAAACCTCAGAGTACTGGAAGAGCTGTGTGATAGTCACTCATAGGTTTATAACAGGTTACCCCCCCCCCCCCCCAAATGAATGTTTTAAAACGACCAACATTTTATTACATTTCACAGTTGGTAGGTCAGGAATTCTGGCTAGTGCATTCTTTTGTCCCACGTGACACAGACTGAGGTCACTTGTGGTATTCAGCTGGTGGGCAGGATGGTCTGAAGAACCCAAGGTGGTTTCATTCATGTCTGGAACTTTGGTGGAGTAGGATGGAAGGCTGGGCTTATCACATGGCATGTCAACACATGGCCTTTCTGCCATGATGACTCAGGGGAATCAGATTTCATTTTGGCAGCTCATGGTTTCCAGAAAGAGTGTTAAAATATAATAAGGGAAATAAATTAAATGAATGAGAGCTGGTAATTTCTTAAGAAAGGCTCAGAAATCATTGCAGGTCATCTCCTGCCATATTCTACTGAACAAAGCAATCACAGAACATATAGTTTCAAGAGGACATAGACCCTTTATCTTCATGGAAGGTGCATCAAAAAATTTGTGGTCATCTTAATCCACCAAAAAGGATACTGAAAAAAGCAGCTGTGTGTTTGATAAGTAAAGGATGTTGTTGGGCAATAGTGGTTCACATCCTAACTCTAGACAATGGGAGAATCTTCTATTCCTTTGTTAAGTATTTACAGAGTGCGTCGTAGGCACAGACAGTGTTTTATGCACTGAGGATAATAAAGAGAATGTAAAAAGGAATAAGATAAAACTCTGCTGTTGCATGACTTACACATTAATGGGCCATGAGAGAAAATAAAGACAGAAATTAACAATATCTTCATATGTGCTATGAAGACATGTATAGGTATGATTAGGGGAGATGATAAATGGGTACTCATACACAATTTCCTAAGGAGTTGCCATTTAAGCTGGGACCTAAGAGATATGAGGCCGAGTATAGATGTCAGAATAGAGATACTCCTGAGAGTCAAATTCTGAGTCAGAAAGAACTTGGCATCAAGAGTCAGAAAGAGGCCAATGTGTCTGGATCAGAGGGGTCTCAGTGGAGCATTTTTCTCTGGCCTTCACACTAAAACCTCGGTCTCCCACTTCCTTCACAGAGCAGTTCACTGTGCATAGCTCCAGGAGCCACCAGGTGGTCCTGGCAGGCCAGCACACGGAGCTCAGCTGCCAGCTCTCCCCACCGCAGAGTGCGGAACACATGGAGGTGGGCTGGTATCGGGATCACTACCAGCCGATTTCCATTTATATGAAGGAGAAAAAGCGCTCTGAAAAAAGCACTCAGAACTATAAAAATCACACAGTGCTCCTGAAGGACGCCCTGGGAGAGGGCAAGATGACCCTCCGGATCCATAATGCCAGTGTTATTGATGAGGGGAAGTACCACTGTTTCTTTAAAGATGGTGACATCTCTGAAGAGGCCATCATAGATCTGAAGGTAGCAGGTAAGGGCAGAGGAGTCATCTCTGGGTTTCCTATGTAGTGCCACTCTGGACTCAGGATCCAGAATTCATGAATGCTGGGCCATGAGGAAAAGGTCTAAGTGTATTTAAAAAATCTAGAACTTTTATAATGTACAGAAAAATACATAGAATAATGTAATAAACTAGATATTTGGTTAACAATTTATTATATTTACTTCTGATCAAGTTAACATTACCTTTGTACTCATCAATGATGCCATTCACTTTTTTTCCTTTCCATAAAGTAACCATTAAACTCATAATCTCCTTTGGTTAACACAAAGACATTCTTAAAAATATTATTATTTTGTGTGTTTTAAATTTGTAGTATCATTATGCATATTCTATTGACCTGATTATATTCTTAGTTTTTTTATTTTTATATAAATCCATGTTTTTTCAAGTGGGTACAGTTCATTCTTTAACTTCAGTATAGTATTCCACTCCATAAATATATGACTATTGATTTTTGTATTTCCATATCAATGGACATTAAGGTAGTAGACAAATTTCAGTTCTTATGTTAGACTGTAGTATTTGTGTCCAAGAGTTCTTTTAGGATATACAGCTTGCAGTTAAGTTATTAGGCCATTGTGTACAAATATCTTAAAATTATTAGCAGTTACCCACCAACATGATTTGATCAATTTATATTTGACTCAAGTCATGTAAAAGCTACATCCACACTGATACTTAAAATTACTATGTTTTTAAATGTTGCAAGTTTTAAAAATATTTTTATTTATTTCAGAGAGAAAAGGAGAGGGAGAGAGAGATAGAAACATCAATGATGAGAGATAATCATTAATCAACTGCTTCCTGCACACCCCCTACTGGAGATTGAACCTGAAACCTGGGCATGTGCCCTTACTGTGACCTCCTGGTTCCTAGGTTGACGCTCATCTACTGAGCCACAGCTGGCAGGGCAAACTTTGATTTAGTTTAGCTTATCCTTAATAATAATAAAGTTTTATTTATTATATAATAGAGAACTTTTTTCTGATTCTTGCTTGTTTATTATTTTTGCCCATTTTATTATTGAGTTCTTTGATTTTTTTTTAATTTGTGGGAATTGTTTTTTATTCTGGATATCATAATTTAGTTTTTTATTTTGTTGCAATTTTTTTAGTCTACTGCCTTTTAAAAAATGTATGGTAACTTATTTTATGTAGATTTAATTTTGATATTATCAAATTTATAGTCTACTAAATTATAATTTATCATTTGTGTCACATTTGAGAAATTCCTTCTTATCCTCAATTATGAAGATATTTGCTTTAAATTTTTGAAGCTATATTTTCACATTTAATTCCTAATCTATATGAATTTTACCTTTGTGTCTTTTAATGAGCTAATAAAATATATACTTATTGACTATTCCCAAAAATTATAAAGTAATTCTGTCATCTACCAAGTCCATACCTCCGCATGGGTCTTTTTATGAGTTTTTATTATGTTTACTTTTTAGGTTATCATTATCTAGTTATCTATATCTAATACAATACTGCTTTTCTTAAATTACTATAGCAATGTGTCTTGGTTTGTGACACATCTTGCTATCTTTCTCCAAAATTGTTTTAGCCCCATATAGTCTGAATTGTAATTATTAAGTTAAATCCTCTTAGGGATTATGATTAAAATTGAATTGAACATATAGACTAGAGGGCTGGTGCACAAAATTCATGCATTGGGGGGCTGTCCCTCAGCCCATCCTGCACCCTCTTCAATCCAGGACTGCTGGCTCCCAACTGTTCTCCTGCCTGCCTTCCTGATTGCCTCTAACTGTTTCTGCCTACCAGCCTGATAAGCCCCTAACCATTCCCCTGCCAGTTTGATTGATGCCTAACTACTCCCCTGCCAGCCTGTTTGCCCCTAAGTACCCCCCCCCCCCCACTGCATGTCTGGTCACCCCTAACTACCCTCCCCTGAAGGCTTGGTCACCCCCAATTGCCCTTCCCTTCAGGCCCAGTTGCCCCCAACTTCTCTCCTCTGCCAGCTTGGTCACCCCTAATTGCCCTCACCTGTAGGCTTAATCATCCCAACAACCCTCCTTTGTAGACCTGTTCCCTCCCATCCACCCTCCCCAGGTGGCCATCTTGTGTCTATATGGGGGCAGTCATCTTTGACTACATGGGGGAGTGATGGTCAATTTGCATAATACTCTTTGATTAGATAGAATAGAGGCCTGTGTGGGGGCCAGCTGGTTTGTCCTGAAGGGTGTCCCATATCAGGGTGGGGGTTCCCTTGGGGTATGGGGCAGTCTGGATGAGAACCTGTGGTGGTTTGCAGGCTGGCCACACTCAAAGGAGACCCAAGCAGAGGCCCTAATATAGGGATTTATTTATCTTCTATAACTGAAACTTTGTAGCCTTTAGCAGAGCCAAGATTCCTGCTTGCTCCATGGCCATAGCCATTTTTGTTTGGATTCATTTATCTTCTATAATTGAAACTTTGTAGACTTAAGCAGAGGCCAAGGCAGGCCAAGGCTGCCAAAACTTGGCTTCCTCCATTGCCAAGAGCAACTCAAGCCTCCTGCTCTCTCCAGCTCCATGATTGTCGCCATTTTTGTTGGGATTTATTTATCTTCTATAATTAAAACTTAGTAGCTGAGGCCAACGCAGGCCCAGGAAGGTGGAAAGCTTCGATTCCTCCATTGCCTGGGAAACCCAAGCCTCCTGCTCTCTCCATGGCTGCAGCCATTTTGGTTGGGTTAATTTGCATACTTGCTCCTGATTGGATGGTGGATGTGGCTCATGGGTGTAGTGGAGATACGGTCAATTTGCATATCACTCTTTTATTAGATAGGATTTTAAAAATTATTCTGTACTCACTCGTTTCTCAGATATATTATAAATGTTGTCTATTATGTAGCTTTATTTTTTTACCTTCTACATATTGTCTTTTGTTGTTGAACAAAAATTAACTTTCATAAAGTCAATCACCTCTTCCATGGTTAATACCTTTAATGCCCTGTTAGCTTGGGTGGTCATCTCTGCCCTATTTGTGGTCATCACCATTAAAGTTATGGCACACTCTGCCAGCCACAGAGAATGAAAAGGAACATTTACTTCTTTATTCTTGAGTCCACACCAATAATTAATGTCAATTCTCTCTCTTCCTCCAGCTCTAGGATTGACTATACAGATTAATGTTCTTGTTCCTGACACAAAAGGGCTCATGGTGGAATGTAACTCAGAAGGGTGGTACCCACAACCCCAGATGAATTGGAGAGACAGCAAAGGGAATGTAATTCCAGCCTCATCAAAAATCTTCTCTGAGGATCGAGCTGGATTATTGCACATAAAGACAAGTGTTCTGCTAAAAAACAGTACCCATGGTCCTGTCACTTGCTGCTTTCATAACACAGTTACTGGTCAAGAGAAAAGGGCAAGTATTGTCCTACCAGGTGAGTATCTGTGGCTTGGTTCTACCAAGGAAGAATGGTTTTCATCAGTGTGACAAAATAAAGATAAAATTAGGTATATTATAAATGAGAAATTGCTTTATAAATAGCGCACTGCTGTAGACATACAACATTTAAACCTTATTAAGTATCTAGACACAAGGAAAATATCAGATGCTCAGGAAACCTGTTCTTAAAAATTGTAGGAACTGTAATAATCAGAGAAAATCCCTTATTTTGTTTAGCATCTCAAGGCTTCAAAAGTTATATGTCATTTGACTGCTAGATTCACAATTTATAGTTTTATGAACTTGAATGTCATGTAACCTTTAAGACCATTGATTTTTCTCATTTAGAGATGGTAACATATATTTTTTGAATTTGAAATAAAATATCACAAATAGGATTTATAAGACATAAAGCAATATGTAGAATTAAGATTGATTTAAAAATTATTGATGTCATAAGTGGACTGTACTACTACCTTGTGAAGAAATAGACATGTAAAAAGTCCATTACTAAAGATTCAGCAACTGGTAAGTGATATATCCAAGATTAGATCCCATCTCCTCACCCATTATCCAGGACTATTTTTCTCTGGTACAAGGTGGTTATGATCAGAGAGATTAGCTAACTGTAAAACTGTGTTCTTTGTGCTTCAGCCTGTGACTAGGTCTAGTCCCCAGACAAATTAAGATGGATAGAAAGAACAAGAGATAAGCAGAGTGAAAGGATTAATTTTAAGTAGGAAAACAGTTTAGCTGTTACACAAAAACCCTGTCCCTAACAGCAATTCAAAAAGAATGGAAATCATGAGATAGTTCATGTGGCTACACTCTTTCAAGTAATTCAAACACTCAGGTTCATGTGTATTGTTGACCATTAATCTCCTTAAAGATCTTTTGAAAACCTGTTGATCAAGCAAAACTAAGTTTATTAGACCTAAGCCATTAAAAGAGAACATAATCTTTACAGAGTGTTAATAGCATTATAGAATAGGTAATTAGGGGAGGATATTTATAATTTTAGAGCTTCTAAAGATTTTTAAAAATACATTTTTATTGATTTCAGAGAGAAAGGAAGAGGGAGAGAGAGATGGAAACATCAATGATGAGAGAGAATCATTCATCAACTGCCTCCTTCATGCCTCCTACTGGGGATTGAGACCAAAACCTGGGCATATGCCCTGACTGGGAACCAAAAGGTGACCTCCTGGTTTATAGGTTGGTACTCAAACACTGAGCTACACTGGCCCAGCATACTGGGTGTTTTTTTTAAAAGTAAGTCTTGCAAGCTGAGAAAACAAATTATAATTTACAGTTTATAATACAACTAGAGGTCCAGTGCACGAATTAGTGCATGGGTGGGGTCCCTTGGCCTGGCCAGTGATGGGGGCCAATCAGGGCTGGCCCAGAGAGAGGACTGCAGGAGCTTGGCCAGCTGCGAGGGGCTTGGCTGTGGGAGCACACTAACCACCAGGGGGAAGCTCCTATATTGAGCGTCTGCCTCTGGTGGTCAGTGCGCATTATAGCTACAAGCCTGTTTTCCAGTCATCCAATTGTAATGGCTACTTATGCATACACACACACACACACACACACACACACACACACACACTTAGTGAGCATAGCAATATGAAGGTCTTAAAGTGAGTCTTGAGCTCATCATTAGTTTTGTTAAATAAGCTATTATCTCCCAGGAGCATATATTTCCTGGAGGCAGTAGCCAACTTATTGTTGTTTGCTTTCAGTTGCATAGTATAGGGACAGGAACTATGCCTAGCACCAAAATAGTTTACCATAAGAATAGGACACTGATTTATTCTGATATTGCTTAACATAGGGACAGGGAATTATTTTGGTTTTATTTCTCAAGTGGGACAATGGCTGAAAAGGAGAAAGAGAGGGCATTCCCTAAGGGAGATCATCAGTGTCTACCAGAGGGACTTCGGATGTGATCTCAGGTCAATTTTAGCCTATTATTAGAGTACTCCTGAAGAGTAGGTAACTGTTTAACTAGGTTCAATTCACAAAGGCTTAGTATTAGGGAATTACAATTTTTCTCCCTCATAGTCATGGAAGTATTATATAACTAGGAAGCTGATAAATAAATTTTGGAAGCCCCTTTCTCCTGTTTATCAAAGCCTCACTTTATGTGCTTGCATCTCTTGGTAACGCAAAATAAACTCCCTTAGTTAACTCATAATTTCAATTTTCTCTTTTCCATCATGGGAGACTTATTTTTGGTTTCCCTTTCAATCCTACATTTATATTCGGAGTCATTCAGGAATCTTGGTAGCTGACCTATTTAGTTTTGTTAAAGCTGAAGTATAAATTTAGAACCCATGTCCTTTCCCTGTGGACTTTTTTTAATTTTCATTTGAATGAAAACCTTTCATAAAATGAAAGAGCAAATTCAGTCCCAGTGATAGCCAAGTAAGGGGTGAATTATATACCTTGACAATGGAGTTGTTATTTTTATGTGTTACGTATTTGTTGTTGCTAAAATTCAAATTCCAATAGTTTGGTGCCAAACCCTGCTTTACTTTCAACCAGTTTTTAATTTACTATATTAAATAAATTATTTATTTAATTTATAGATATTTATTTTGTGTTCTGCATCTGAAAATTACATTATATGGAGGTATTGATTGTTTGCTTCTATAGTTTGTCTGTTTCCAAGTTCACCTTCTTCATTCTCTGGGAAACAATGCTTGTCTCTTTACACAACATCTCATACACAAGGCTTTTTGAACCCAGGTCATCTGTGATCGGTAGTTAATGGTACTAACTGCTGCTATAGTGCCTGTCACCATCAAACAGAGCAAATACAGATGTTGCACTTTCTTTATTTTCTGCACTATGAGGACTTTCATGCTCTAACACCACACAGAAATTGTTAACTTTAAAACATATTTTTTAAATCAGGATATTGAATGTTTACTCCTGAGAAAATTTTTCTGTCACATTGGTCCTAGCTTGCAGGGAAATTAAACAATGAATGTCAGAAGACTTTTGCAGTTTTATTTCTGAAGTTTCAGAACTCCTATATGTATATAACAATTTTAAACTTCCTAGAATTTTACCAGAGGCACTTCTGATCCAGTTCCACAGCCTTTGGCTTCCCCAAATCCTCCATATAATCTGGTGCCCAGGACCCTGTCCTGTAATTTCCCTAATCTCACAGATTTGTCCCCTGGAATATAAGAAAAGAAATAGAAAGTTATTTCTCAATTCAGTCCTGTTCCATCCTTGCCCAATACTTCCCAAATCCTGGTCTTTCCCCTAGTCCAGCTACACTGGCAAGTTTCCCTTGTCTGAGCACAGAGTGAATACATAATACAGAGTGTAATAGGGGTCATAAGTGGGTATCTTGCTTCCTTAGAGCAATATTCCATGCCCCTTGGAGTCTTGTGATCCTGCTGCCCTACTTACCAAAACTTTCATTTTGCTCTCTCTCTCAGATATCCTGTTAACATCGGAGTATATGTCAACAATGTCATATATAAAGTGGTGGCTCCAGATATATATACTATTCGTTATGGTTATGCAATTTCTACTGTGTTTGAGAACAAAAGGTATTTCATTCAGATATTAAATGCTTTGAAGAGGTTAATACAAAAACAGTGTAAACTTGCACATCTAAATGTATCCCACTGCTATATTTGCCAAAGAAGGTCTCAATGTCATTAATTATGCTTCAGGTCAAGTTGCAATTTTTCCTCCATATGTGTCTCTCAGGGGTGCTGCTATAGTGCCTGTTACCACCAAATAGTAGTTGGTCCTGATTCCTTTATAGCCATCATTGCTTATTTCCCAGTGCTTGGAATTCAACAATAGTAATTCTGTTCTCTTCGATAGGCAACTATGGATAGTTAGACTTACCCACTCAAAGTGTTCAGAATATTTTACTTTGATAACAAGAAGAAGTACCTATATCCAGATTATTTGGTCCTCCTTAATCTCCTCTCACTTCTTCTTTTGCACTTTCTATGAAACTAATTTAAATATATTCTCTTTCTTCCTCATTAGAGGTAGGAAATAGAATCTTAATTTCAGGGAACTGAGGGCAAAGAGTAGAGTAGGTATCCTATATAATAAAGATGTAATATGCAAATTGACCCTCACACCCTCACACAATATGGCCATCCTCATGTGGGCACAAAATGGCTGCCCCCATATGGTCACAAGATGGCCACCCCCATGTGGTAACAATATGGTTGGCAGGAGAGGGCAGTTGTGGATGATTAGGCTAGTAGGGAAGGGCAGTTGGGGAGCAACTGGGCCTGCAGGGGAAGGAGGGCAGTTGGGGGCAACCAGCCTGGCAGGGGAGGACAATTAGGGGTGACTAGGCCTGCAGGGGAGGGCAGTTGTGGGTGATTGGGCTGGCAGGGGAGCAGTTAGATGTTAATCAGGCTGGCAGGGGAGTGGTTAGGGGGTGATCAGGCTGCCAGGCAGAAGCAGTTAAGAGCAATTAGGTAGGCAGGCAGGTGAGTGGTTGGGAGCCAGCAGTTCTGGATTGTGAGAGGGATGTCCAATCTAAACCAGCAATTGGACATCCCCTGAGGGGTCCTAAATTGGAGAGGGTGCAAGCTGGGCTGAGGGACAACCCCCTAGTGCATGAATTTTGTGCACTGGGCCTCTAGTCAGGTATATTTGAGAATAACCTCTTAAGTACTTGACCTTAGGAACTTCACACCATATAAGGTGAATAACTGAAGTGATAAATTATGTCATCCGATACTTGACATACAAAACAGTTCCTAAAATAAGGTGACCAGACGTCCCGCTTTTGGCAGGAGAGTCCCAATTTTTAACAATTTGTCCTGTGTCCCACGACGTTTTAAAAAAGTCCAAAAGATTTAAAAGATTCTTTCCAAAAATTGGGACTTTTTTAAAATGTCATGAGACGCGGGACAATTTGTTAAAAATTGAGACTGTCCCACCAAAAGCAGGACATCTGGTCACCTTATCCTAAAAGAAAAGTGTTGTCATGTTTCTAGGATCTTTTGGAAGGAGGAAGAGAGGGACTGGGATATTTGGGGAGATTATTTAATCTATAGTGACATATACATTTCACAAGACAAATGCTTTTTGAGAGCTCTCATAAAAATTAGATTTATTTATGATTCAGGAAACATAAGGCTAAAAAAGAACAGACAATTTGACTTGCTCAGCCCTCTACCCAATTTATAAAGACCTACATAACTTTGGATTAGCAGTTATCATGTACCAGCAGATGTGATAAATACTTTGTAGTAAATATATTATTAATTTCTCCAAACAATCCTATATGGTAAGTTTTATTTATTTTTAACACTTTTAGATGAAGAAATTAAGGATCAGAATTTTTAGGTGAATTGTTCAAGCTGAAACAATCTATAAATATATTCAGGATTGGAACCTAGATATTTTAAATGCCAAACACTTTGCTCCAACCATAATGCTCTTCTTTATGTTGTCTATGGGTAGTAAGACTTCCTTGAATTCTTGCAGTGATGGGGAGGTCACTAACTCATTAGACAGTTTGATTTTTATTTGTTTATTCAACAAATTTATATTGAGCACCTTCTAAATACTAGCCACTGTTCTAGATATTGACAGTACAGTAAGGAGGTTGGAGTCAAAAGTCTTTGCCTTCATAGACCTAATTACTAGTGTAATTTGAGAAAATCTGTCCTTTTTGAACTTTTTTGTTGGTAATTGCTTGTATTTGTTGACTTAACAAACAGTATTTTTCTGCCTGACTTGGATATATTTTTTTAAATATATATTTAAAAATTTTTAAATTACAATTGACATACAATATTATATTCACCCAATGATTAGACATTTATAACTCAATAAGTGCTCACCATGATAAATCTAGTACCCATCTCACATCAAACATAGTTACTACAGTACTATGACTATATTTCATATACTGTACTTTATATCCCCATAACTATTCTATAACTACCAATTTGTTTTCCTTAATCCCTTCATCATTCTCCAACCCCTTTTCCTTCTGGAAGCCATCAAAATTTTCCCTGCATCTATGAATTTAGTTTTGCTTGCTTTTTTTGTTTTGTTTTGTTTTGTTTTAAGACCTATTTTGCTTGGTGCAAGAATTGCTACCCCAGCTTTTATTTGTTTGTTTCCATTTTCATAAAATATATTTTTCCATCCCTTTACTTTTAGTCTCTGTGTGTGTTTTGATCTGAAGTGAGTCTCTTGTAGACATCATATGAAAGAGTCTTGATTGTTATTCATATCAGGCTTCATATATCTTTTTATTGGAGTATTTAATCCATTTGCATTTAAAGTAGCTATTGATAGATATGTATTTATTGCCACTTTACTATTCATATTTAAAAACATTTTTTCTTCTTCTTAAAGAAGACTCTTTAATATTTTTTGTAATATTGGTCTGATGGTGATGAAATGCTTTAGCTTTTTCTTGTCTGAGAAGCTCTTTATCTATACTTCCATTCTTAATGATAATTTTTCTGGATAGGATAATCTTGGTTGTAGGACCTTGCTTTTCGTCACTTTGAATATATATTTTTTCTTTTTGCATTTAAGTATTACATATGTGTCCGTATCCCTTATTTGTGTCCCTATCCCTCCAGTCCTGCCCTCATCCTCACCCCCTGTTGTCTGTGTTCATCACTTATGCTTATATGCATGCATACAAGTCCTTTGGTTGATCTCTCCCCCATAATCCTCCCCTCCACATCTTCCCTCTGAGGTTTGAGCATCTGATCAATGCTTTTCTGTCTCTAGATCTATTTTTGCTTATAAGTTTATGTTGTTCATTATAATTCACAAATGAATGAGATTGTTTGATATTTATCTTTCTATAACTGACTTATTTCACTTAGCATAATGCTCTCCAACTCTATCTATGCTGTTGCATATGGTAGAAGTTTCTTCCTTTTAACAGCAGCATAGTAGTTCATTCTGTAGACATGTCAAAGTTTTTAATCCACACATCTGCTGATGTGCACTTAGGCTGGTTCCAAATCTTAGCTATTATAAATTGTACTGCTATGAACATAGGGGTTCATATATCCTTTCTGATTGGTGTTTCTCATTTTTTGGATATATTTCAAGAAATGGGATCACTGGGTCAAATGGAAGTTCCATTTTTAGTTTTTTGAATAAACTCCATACTGTTCTCCACAGTGATTGTACCAGTCTGCATTCCTACCAACAGTACATGAGGATTACTCTTTCTCCTCATTTTCACCAGCATTTGTCATTTGTTGACTTGTTGACCATAGCCATTCGACAGGTGTGAGATGGTACTGCATTATTGTTTTGATTTGAATCTCTTGGATGATTAGTGATTTTGAGCATATTTTCATATGTCTCTTGGCCTTCCTTATGTCTTCTTTTGAAAAGTATTTATTTAGGTCCGATGCCCATTTTTTGATTGGGTTATCTTTCCTTTGTTAAGTTGTATGAGTTCCCTGTAAATGTTGGAGATTAAACCCTTATTGGAGATTTGTCGTTGGCAAATATGTTCTCCCATGCAGTGGGTTTTCTTGTTGTTTTGTTGATGGTTTATTTTGCTGTGCAGGAGCTGTTAATTTGATGTAGTTCCATTTCTATATTTTCTCTTTAGTTTCCATTGCCCTAGGAGCTCTGTCAGTGAAGATATTGCTTCAGCATATATCTGAGATTTTGCTGCCTGTGAATTCCTCTAATATTTTTATAGTTTCCCATCTTACATTTAAGTCCTTTATCCATTTTGAGTTTATTTTTGTGTATGGTGTAAGTTGGTGGTCTAGTTTCATTTTTTTGCATGTGTCTGACCAAATTTCCCAGCACCATTTATTGAAGAGACTGTCCTGACTCCATTGTATGTTCTTGCCTCTTTTGTCAAATGTTAATTGAGCATAGTGGTTTACCTCGATTTCTGGGTTCTCTATTCCATTGGTCTATATGTCTATTCTTGTGCCAGTACCAGGTAATTTTGACAACAGTGGCTTTGTAATACAGCTTGATATCTGGTATTGAGATCCCACCTACTTTATTCTTCTTTCTTAGGATCACTGACCCCATTTTGTTGAGAATTTTAGCATCTACATTCATCAGGGATATTGGTCTGTAATTCTCTTTTTTTGTGGTGTCTTTATCTGGTTTTAGGATTAGAGTAATTCTGGCTTCATAGAAAGAGCTTGCAAATTTTCTTTTTATTCCAGATGAATTTTTGGAGAGTTCTTTCTAGATTTGTGAAATATACTGTTGCTATTTTAACACTGAATCTATAGTTTGCTTTGGGTAGTATGGACATTTTAATGATGTTTATTCTATCAACCCATGAACACAGTATGTTTTTCCATCTGTTTATATCTTCCTCTATCTCTCTCTCTTTTTTTTCAACGTCCTGTAGTTCTCTAAGTAGAGGTCTTTTACCTCCTTAGTTAAGTTTATTCTAAAGTATCTTAATTTTTTTGTGTGCAATGGTAAATGGGGTTGTTTTTAAATCTCTCTGTAAGTTCACTATTGGTGTATAAAAATGCCAGAGATTTCTTGGTGTTAATTTTGTATCCTGCTACATTGTTAAATTCATTTATTAAGTCTAATAATT